TTGATTGATTGATTGATTGATTGATTGAATGATAGGTCAGCAGGTGCGGAAAGACGTTCCTTTGGCCCGCTGTCCTTGTGGGAAGGGGAACAGAGGTGGCAGAGCTCCGCAAGGTGCTGGCGAGCCTTCCCAACCTGGGGATTGCCAGATGAGTATCCACTCCAATTCCCAGGGCTCCCCGCAAGGGCGTGTGGCCTGAGGAATTCTGGGAAGCGAAGTCCACTGTCCCAGGGTTTCTCCCCCTGGGGATGCGAGCCCCAATCCAGCGAGCGGTGGGGGGGACAGAAGAGCTCTGAAGAAGGAGAGTGATGCTGAGGGTGGGGAGCACAAGCAACACGGAAGCAGAATGGGGGGAAGCAGAGACGCCAAGTGGGGCAGAACACGAGGGGAAAATGGTGAAGGGGAGGGAAATGAAAAGGACCAAAGGAGGAGAGAAGGAAACAGGAGGAGGAAGCAGAGAAATAAAGAGGGGTTGAAGACAGAAAAATGTAATGGAGGCTGCTGCCAACCTTCCAAGTGGGCTGCTTTTCCCCAATTTTATTCCCATTATACACAGAGGGAGAGGATGAAGGAATTGACTGTTCTCAAAAGCTAAGCAGGATTAGATCTGGTTTGTCCTTGGACGGGAGACCACCAGGAAGCCCCAGTCGGCAGTCTAGATTGGGAAGTCAAAACCCCATCCTGGAAGCCAGCGGTGGCAAACCACTTCTGCGTTGCTGGCGAGGAAACTCCGTGGACGTGTCCATAAACTCACCAGAAGTCAAACTCAACTCAAAGAAGGCTTTATTTAGTCCAGCACATCTGGAGAGCGCCGTGTTGGGGAAGATCATCCTAAGGGAATACCATTCTTTCTTCTATCCTGCCCCTCTTTAGGGACCCTTTCAGTGAGCTACACATGGGGGCAATCCTTCTTACATTAAGAATTAAGAACATAAGAACATAAGCCGTGCCCTGCTGGATCGGAGCTCTGGCCCACCTAGTCCAGCTATCTGTTCTCTAAGTTAGTGTTTCTCAACCTTGGCCACTTTAAGATGGGTGGACCAACTCCCAGAATTCCCCTTGCTGGCTGGGGAATTCTGGGAGTTGAAGTCCACCCTTCTTAAAGTGGCCAAGGTTGAGAAATGCTGCACTGACTGGCCCACCAACTGTCCAGGGAAACTCACCAGTCTCCCAGCAGATGACCCTCAGGGGCAGCCCCACTGCCATCAAGGCTAACAGTCATGGATCCCAAGGACTTCCAATTTCTTGCTATAGAAAGGAAGACCCTGCTTTTTTCTCCCCTCTTTGAGAGGCAAAGCAAGGACCCGTTCAACAGGCCCGAGGATACAGATGCCCATGGAGGTCTGGGGCGGGTGGGGGATGGAGGACAAGTGATGGGACATGTATCATGACGCAACTGGATGATCTACGGACTGGCATCCCAGGGACAAAAAGCTGGCATGGCCTTGTGACGTCACAGGGCACACTGCATTGTTTTTTGTCACCTCTGGGGCATGTCGAACAGCAGGAATCGTGAGCTGCGAAGCCTGATGTCTACATGAACCCATTTTCTGAGTTCACCCAATGCCATGAAGCATAAATTAACCAAACAGGTTGGGTGTCAGCTGCAAATAAAGAACCAAGGTAAATGTTAACCAGGTTTACCTGACAGTGCGACATGGCCATCAGGAATTTACCTGAGATGGTTTTGTGGGAGTCGGCGTTCGTGCCACTGCAGATTAAAAAAAAATCTTGGAAGGGGGACTAAACAGGGCAGGAAGAACGAGGTTTGCAACAGCTGGGAAAGCTGAAAAGACGAGGTTGCAACTAAGCAGGGCGTGGAATGGCAGGATTATTTGCGTCTTGCAAACAGGGGGCCTGCATTTTCTCCTCCGGAAAAGCTCCATCTGTTGAATTTCTGCCTGATGCACAGCTATTCAAACCACAAGAGCCTTAACTCAGGCAGCCCCAGTAAGGCAGCTATCCCATTCACTGGTTTTAGCCTCGTTCCTTTTGGAGATGGGCCTCCAGACAGACATCTTACTCCTGGTTGCCCTACCTTGACTGAGAAGCTGTAAGTTGCGGACTTCCTCCCGCACCTGAAGCTGCAGCACCTGTTGGAGCACTTCCTGTCGCTGAGACTCCTGGGTAATCCCCATGCGCTGCAGCTTCTCTGCATTCAGCCGCAAGAGCGCCCGACCTGCGGAAGAGGAAGCAAACGAATGGCTATGTTCACACAACCCTCTTACCCCACTCAGAGAAAGCTCTTGTTCCTTTCCAACAGGGCAGAAATTCTCAGTTGACTTCCCCCCCCCAAGGACTGTCATCAGATTGAACTTCAAAGCTGGCAGCCCTGCTCTCTGCCCCCCAGCTTCCATGCCCCCCCCACTTCTAGTGGGGAGGCCCCCATCTGCATCTCATGAGCTCCAACTGCTTTGCACTTACGACGACTTCCAAGGATATCTTTCATCTCATTTCACAGATGGGGGGCCCTAATGGGGTCTTTTCACAGGGGCCAAAAACCTGCGCCCCTCCTGATGTTCTTGGACTACACTGCACATCATCCCCAATCCTCAGCTGCGATCGCTGAGGGCTGGAGCTGCTGTTCCAACACTTTCCATCAAGCACTTTTTTAACCAGCCCCATGGCTGGTACCCCAGTGAAAAACCTTTGGTTTGTTCCCCTTCTGCAATAGAAGCCCTTGTTTCTACTCCGCAAACCCTGCCCAGAAAGCTCTACTGGCCTCCACTGGATCTTCTCTTTCATTTCTTCTTTTCTGGGGGGTGAAATAAATTCCCCTCCCTTGGATTGGCAAGCTGTTTCCCACCAAAGGTAAATCCAGCCTGGCTTTCCACAGGGTGCTCTCTAAAAGCATGGTTTGCAAACCTTCTCCCCAGCATTTGCTGGAACCAGGGGTCGGGGTGGTTGGCCCCTCCCCAAAGAAAGATCAGGAGCACTGCCTATGGGGCTGTGCTGAATCTGGGTTTACAGCAGGGGGGGGGAGGCGGGGAAAGCAACTCCTGATATTTGTGATGCTATGCATGCACGTCACGAGAACGCCAAAGATGCTTCTGAAAGCAAATGTGGGGTTTCCTTGGGGGCGGCCCAACTGCTTACCCTCGATAGCCCTCTGCCCGTGATAATCGCCTACCAAATTCAATAATACGGCCCTACCCAAAACGAGGCGTTCAGAAGATATTCATTTCCTGAGGCAGGCTTTGCCCGTTTCCCCAGCTTTTATCCTGCATCCAGACTCGTTTTGTGGGACTGCCTTGGCGGATGCAGGCAATATTCTGTGCATCCCCGGAGGAAGGCATCGGAGTTTCCCATCATGCCTTTCTCCTCATAGCTAGAGGCCGTTGGCAGAGGAACCTTATAATATCTCCCATCCCCGCTTCCTCTGGGTCCAATTGAAGAGGCTTTCTTTATTTCCAACAGAAGGAATTGAGTGAGCTGTTCCATTAGTATTTTATTATTGCCCCTGGGGCAATAAAGCAGTGAAACGCTCAGCCTTTGTGAGAACAGGAAGGAAAGTAAAAAAAAACAAAACCACACACATACATAACAAAGGCATACAGTACACCCAAAGACACCCTCCAACTGATTTCTCACCCCCTCCTACATTTTTTCCTGCCATTCTGGACACAGGCAGTTTCACAAATAGAGACAGATGATAATCGGTGGTAGTTTAGTTCATTAAAAAAAAGAAATCTTTATCTCCCCACATCTGGTTCTACCCACAAGAAAGCTCCTGGGTTCCTCTGCCCGAGTCAGACAAGCTTGCAAAGTGTTGATTCAGTCACATCTCTCCTTGTCCCTAAACATTCCTCAGCAGATTACCCTTTTAAGTCAGCCTAGGAGGTTCCTGGTGCTCTCATGGTTCAATTTTTGGGTTCTTGAAGTTCTCTGAACTTGGTTGTTTTCTTGAAGACATTTCATTACCCAGCTAGGTACCACCATCAGTGGGAGGGAGAGTGAGATCTGCTGGTTGTTTATATATAGTGGCTTGCCCAACCAGCAGACCCCCATTCTCCCTTGGACTGATGATGGTACCTAGCTGGGTAATGAAATGTCTGCAAGAAAATAATTAAGTTCAGAGAACATCAAGAACCCCAAAAATGAACCCTGAGCTGCGTAGATTCTTTACTATGGTGAGTTCATCCTGAAAAATGACACCAGCTTTATTATGATAACCCTGCTTGGGAAGATCTACATGATGCAAATGAAGATCTACATGAAGATCTACAATAGATGCAATAGACAGGTCCGTCTTTTCATGTCAATTTGGGGGCTCAGTCCCTCTGCTGCCCATCCTGTTTTCATATGAAAATCCACACATACATTCCCACTTAACCTCCTAGTTGACTTTCACAGTTTTTGGAAAGAGGTGAGCAAGTTCACACCTGGCTAATACCACCAGGTCTTCTCAGAGCTGTGGGCAAGTCAATGTTATTCAATTCTGGGCAGCGCTCAAATTGAATTAATGAAAACAAACAAATAAAAAAAAAAGACGGGGAAGTCGGAAACAGAACAAACTGTTGAGTTTGAACAGAGTCATCCCGGCCAAGGATGATGGGAATGACTGATTGTCCATGGCTCTGCCACCCTTCAACACACCCCGAGAGATGCCTACCTGTGATGGCATGATGTGAGAAAGCCTCCACGTAGATGAGATAATTGTGCGGGCAATGCTTCTTCAGCCATTTGCACACATCCTGCTGGGTCCACAGCACCACTGGCTTGGTAAGGCTACCTAAGGTAGGACTGGTGTGGTAGATTCCATAGTGATCATAGGACCGGCCCTGAAAGGATCAAGTAAGGAAGAAAAGAGCAAACAACAGCATTACAGAGCAAAGAGTTTGCAAGCGTTCCAAAACTGGGCTTGTGAAGAATTCCGTTGATGCACAAATGTTTATTCCTGGATGGAGCATTTTTTTTTCAAATGGCAGCAGATGAGGAGTTATTTGGTTTGGGGACTCTAGCTCAATTCATGCGACATGGCTAACCAGAGAGCTACCAGGCATACTTGCATTAGATGTGAAGATCGATTCATTTTTAGCGCATTAACCTGTTTTGCAAATCTGATCCCTTTAGTGAATTTCTGGTTCTACCAATTGCACAAAGCCAGAAAGTGGGTTGATTCAGTAATCAGGTTAAGTGTGTAGGGTGAACACGGCCCCTGTGCAATCAGGACTTCCCAGCTACATATAAACTCCTGTTCTTTCAGGGGTTTTAACTGTTATATTTTATACAAATAAAACGTAATAGCTAACACCCCTGAAAAACAGGATTTTTTCTTTTGTGTTGGGAGCCGGCATTGATTAGACCAGTGTTGTCCAAACTTGGCCACTTTAAGATGAGTGGACTTCAACTCCCAGAATTCCC